GTATTCTTAATTTATTTTTTGTCAATGGTTAAAATAATTTTCTTCAAATATGTCCCTACTTAATTGCTTTTTGTGTAATTTCTATAATATCAAATGTTATCTTTACACATATTTTTTTTAAAATAAATTCAATTTCTCATTATTTAGTAAATAATAAACTTTTTAGGTGTCTTCAATACGACAATACGTGCAGAGCATGTTAAAAAACTAGTTTTTAGAAATAAGACAAACATTTTATGTTGTTAATTCTTATAGATTTTCCTTATATAGATATATTATATGTTCATCTCATTATCTTATTTTCACACAACTATATATAGGGACGAGTTTTTAATACTCATGTTCTCATCGGTAGTTACCATTAAATGTAGAAATTTAATGATATGGCGTCATAAGAATTCAATATTATTAATTGTTATCAATTTTTTTAATCAACCATCTAATTTATTATAAATCAATATCTTTATACTAAAACAATAATACTCATTAATGAATAAATATTACATTATCCATTAAAACCACACCCATATATATTTTGATGAAATCATTCTCAAGTTTTAAAAGAGACCATTAATACTTTTAAGTTCAAAAAGAAAAAAAAATCAATACTATTTGAAAAAAAAGAGCACTCAAGAGTATGGTTAGAACTTGTAAAATATTTTTTATTTTTTTGAATGAAGAACTTTCAAAATAGTTAAAAATAAGAATTTTTAAAACATTAGCAATTAGTTATATCAAAAGATTTTTTTTGTTGCAAATTAGTTATATCAAAAGATGCTAGTATAGTATAGTTTATGAAAATGAATTTTTTTAATCCTTTTTTAGTCGTCTCATGTAAAATTTAAATTTTAACATTTTTTTACAGTAACAGTAATTCTATTTAAACTTTTAAAAAGGAAAAACAATAATTTTTTAAGTTTTTCTAATTTTTCCTAATTATCCATTCAAGTAAAAAAAAAAAAAAAAAAAGCCGCTTCGGCCAAAATAAAAATAATTTCTTTACTAGATCATATATAAATGGATACTTCATGAATTTCTTAACCTAATCTCTCTGTCCTCTCCTTTCTGAAGTCAAGTCATAAGAAACCCTAGATCATGGCAGGAATGTACGGTCAAGACGCCGGAGATGGCGCCCCTCCTCCCTACGGAGCAAGTGGCGGCGGCGGTGGATATGGTGGTTCTGGAGGAGGCTACGGCGGCAAGGGCGGAGATGGCGGTTACGGTGGCGGCGGAGGTCGTGGAGGCCGAGGTGGCGGCGGCGGCTATGGTGGTGGTGGAAGAGGTATTTATCTTCTTCTTCTTTGTCCCTTCAGTTCATGTGTGAATTCTTCATTTGTTTTTTCGTCTTATTTTGTATTTGATTGCAGGTGGTGGCGGCGGAGGATATCAAGGAGATCGTGGAGGCAGAGGCGGTGGTGGCCGAGGTGGTCGCGGTGGAAGCGGCAGAGATGGCGATTGGGTTTGCCCTAACCCTAGGTAAGTCCTTTCTTTTCCTTGTCTTTAATTTTTTTTTACCAAGTTTTTTACTTCTTTTGTCTATTTTAGTAGATCTTTCTATGGTCTTAGGATGTGGGTGTTGGAAACTGAAAAGTTCAGATCTTGCTTTGTTTCATGTTGTATTCTGACTAGTATACATGTTATTGAAACTGGTTTATTTGAAATGTAGTTGTGGGAATTTGAACTTTGCTAGAAGAGTTGAGTGTAACAAGTGTGGTGCTCCTGCTCCTGCTGGAGCTGGTGACCGCGGCGGTGGCGGCGGCGGCGGTGGCAGTGGTTATAGTAGAGGGGGAAGTGGTGGAGGAGGATATGGAGGAAACCGGGGAGGTAGAGGTGGTAGTTATGATGGTGGTAGAAGTGGAAACTATGAAGGGGGTAGAGGAAGTAATTATGAGGGAGGTAGAGGTGGTAATTATGATGGTAGAAGTGGGGGCAATAGAGGTGGTTCCTATGGTGGTAACCAAGGCAGAGACGAGGGTGGGTATGGTCAGGTTCTGCCGCCTGCTGCACCCCCATCATATGGTGGGACTGGTGGGAATTATCCGCCATCGCACAACAGTTATGGGGGGAATGCCAATTATGGAACCGAAGCAGTCCCTCCTCCAACGAGTTATACTGGTGGAGCTACCTCGTATCCCCCATCCTATGGTGGTCCTTCAGGTGGCTATGGTGGTGATAATGTAGGTGATGTGAGGAGCGGTGGCCGGAGCGGTGGCGGCAGTGGTTATAATAGTGGGTATGGTTCTGGGAATCGTGGTGGTTATGGTTCGGCTCCTGCTGAACCCCCAGCGAAGGTGAAGCAGTGTGATGATAACTGTGATGATACATGTGACAACTCTAGAATTTACATTTCAAATTTGCCACCAGATGTTACCATTGAAGAACTGAGGGAGCTTTTTGGAGGCATTGGACAAGTATATCTACATCTCTGCTTTTGAATTAAATGCGTTAGACTCTTCAACTTGAGTTATATATTTGTGTTCTAACTGATGTGATTTATGATTTCTCTCTCTTACCTACTGCATTTCATTTTTAGATTATATGATGATGAAATTCTTATGCACCAGATAACAATAGAGCAAAAGTTGGATAGTTAAAATTCTCCATTTTTGTTAGTGTACACTTTTTTTTACTGTTTCTTTTTTTGACATCTTTAACAATAATTCAACTAGTTTTGATCTTTGAAAAGTAACATTTGGAAGTTTCAATTGGTTTTCAATCCTTTTCAGGTAGGAAGGATCAAGCAGAAGCGTGGTTATAAGGACCAGTGGCCGTGGAATATCAAAATATACACTGATGAGATGGGCAACAACAAAGGAGATGCTGTTTTGTCCTATGAGGATCCATCTGCAGCACATTCTGCTGGCGGCTTTTACAACGGTACTATTAATATCTGTATCTTTTTTTCTTTTTTTTTTTTTGGGCCACCTCATATGCTCATATTTAGTTCACTCTCAGACTATGACCTGAGGGGGTATAAAATCAATGTTGCGATGGCAGAGAAGTCGGCGCCAAAGGCTCCACCTGCATATGACCATGGGTACCTACCTTTAAATTTTACGTTTCATTTATGATAATACCTTGATCAGACCACGATTTAAATAATTAATACATTATTGATTTTGTCCTTGTTACCTTGCCCTGTATTTCTTTTTGATATAAAGTCACAGTCTCGCAATTGATTTAACTTTGTTTGTGTTCAAATCTTATTAATTTCGGCTCAAGTCACCTGGGAACAGCTCAGGCCAGTGGTCTTGGAAATCTCTATCTTATACCATTTCTTGAGTTTATATATGTTATCTTCTTAAGAATTGTTAATTTGCATTCTGGGCAAGTTGTATTCATAAGATGTGTTGCATAGATGAACTGATTGATCATGGAAGTTGCAGATTTCCTGTTCCTCTTATTGGAAAATAAGAGATTTTAGAAACTTCCTAGGTGAAGCGTAGGTGTTTTCCCCTTTCTTTCTGTATATTAAAAGGAAAAGGAGAGAAAAGGTTTGCCGTTTTGTTGGTTTGATGTGGACTGTTGGATGGACTTATTGTTTGTTGCCCCTCTCTCATTTATTTCTCTCTTGTTGTTTTCTGGTTTGCTCAACTTAGTAATTCTATATGTCTATTCTTGTTGCAGTGGTAGAGGTGGATATGGGGGTGGAGACAGACGGAGGGATAGTTACAGAGATGGAGGTTCTGGCCCAGATAGGCACCAGTATGGGGGAAATCGTTCACGTCCATACTGAGGATACTTCCCCATCAAGCATTTTATGTAATGAGAAAATTGTGATCTGAGGGTTTTTATAATATTTCATTGGAAGAGTTCTTGAACTGGAGATTAAGAGGTAGGTTGTTCACTTACCTCTGTGCTCCTCTTCTTACTTTTTCTATGGCTGCCTGGAGGGGTTTCAATGCCAGGATTGATTTAATTGTGTGAATGTTTTTCTAGAGGCAAGTGGATAACCTCCAAAATGCTTGCTGCTAAGGTAGGTTGATATTTTCAGGTGAGTGCCGCTCTTTCTTGATTATCGTTATCGTTATTATCTATGTTTTAACTTAGTAATTATTCAGCTCTCTCATATCATGACGATTTACTTGCATCTGAACATTGTTCTACGTGTTACTGAGACAACACAAGCATTTAGAACCGGTATTTTAGATGCATAACTATTAAGATGTTCATACATGCTTGCCCTTGACTGATAGGAAATTAGTTCATAAGCTTGGTCTTGATTTCCCTTTTGCATTAGGTGTAACAAATGCTACATCTTCTGTCTTAAAATGGTCTCTCTTGATGTGTTGGATCCTTCTTGATCAGTTCTGCTGCTGTTGGATTGTTAACTTTCAACGAGCATGTGCTCCTTTCTTAACCAGCTAGCTAGTTGTAAAATATTTTCTGGAATTTATGATTTGCCGTAATGATGGATAATGTCAACATTCAGAAAATATCAAGTATGAGTTCGGAATGGCAAGTGTCGTAAGAGTCAGTGTTGTCATTTCTCTAGTATTTGCGCATCTTTTTACCTGCAAGGCCAAAGGAATACTAGAAATTAGGATGTTGTGGTCATTTTTTGTGGCGACTTTTGCTGCCAAATGTTTGAGGTGCTACAGTGCTCCTACCGTGCCTGCTCTTTGCTGGGTGCTTCATGGCCCTGTGGAACTAGCTGTTTTCATGGTTCGTGCAATTTTTTGTTTAGGTGTCACAAAAGATAGTTTTTTGCTAAACTCACAAAAGTTAGTTATACCTATTACGGTATTCTTTTTGGTCGGTGTATTGTTAATGCGGTACTCTTTTGTGAGGTTTTCTTAGTTCGGGAATTTTTTTTGGACGGGAGTGATTAATTGTACTAGAACTTTTAATGGTCCTATTCTTTACCATGTTATTTGCTACTTCTAAAATGTTTCTTGATTCAGCACAAAAGAAAGTTAAAAATCTCTCTTGTAACTTTCTTTGGAGATGACGTACGGCCTGGCTGGAACTTATGATAGCTAGGGTGGTGCTGTCGTTAAGAGCACCAAAACCTTACATAAAAAAAAGAGGGACCTTTTTCGGTGGGCAGGCCTAGCGGTATGATTAGTTTCTGATAATTAGATTTAGTTAAAATTATATCAGATTAAAGAAGAATGCGTAACTATAATTTTTGACATTGATTTGATGGCTGAAAAGTAGAGAATTACTAGGTCTCGTTTATTTTACCGATTCGAGTTTTTAGTTTTAAGTTTCTACAGTAAAAAATTTTTAGAAAATATCACATTAACTTTTTTTGTTATAGTAAAAAAATTCTCGGAAAATGTCACATCTCAGCTCGAATTGAAAACTTGAATATGCGAAGTGAACGAGACTTGAGAGTTTATTTTTTCCTATTCTACCAGAAAATTTCCTTTTTTTAAAAAAAAAGAGTAATTTTTCCTTTTTGGGTCCTCAAGTCTTTAGTAGGTGACAACGCATTTTAGTCGATTAAAATTTTGATAAATAGTTTTATAACTTTTAAATTATTGGCAATGGATGGGCTTCCATTAATATTAGTTTTTGTGACTTATCATGTGACCGTTTTTAATGAAAAGACCAAAGTGCCGTCAACCCTAACAAAGCTCAATTAAAAAAAAAAAAGAAAGAAAAACCGAGACACGTACAAGAGACAAACCAAGAGATTAAGCTTGCTTTTAAGTTTTTATTTTTATTTTTTTTCTTTTCATGATAGAAAAAATAGAGAATTTTTTTTATTGTTCACTTCAGAAGGAATTAAACCTAATTTATCAAGGAATTAAATTTTTTCCAAAACTCCAATTTTTTTCATTGTTTTCACCTAATTAATGATTCATACGAAAATGTACAAAATACATCAAACTAACAAAAAATACTTAAAATTTCAAAAGTATTTGAACTCAAAAACATTAAATTTGTCGGTAAATAACCTCCTCATGATGCGCCACTTGGTTATGATAGTTGCAACCCACTTTTCCTGACCCTGCTCATGAAGCCATCGTAAACCTTGCGATGTTGGTTGTGATTCTCACGATGGAGTTTGTCGTGCCTCTTGCTACCTGGTCAGAGGCTGGTCGTGATTCCGGTTGGAATCTGTCGTGATCAAGATTCTTGGAAGACCAAACATTTGGAAGGATAGAATGCTGATGGTATCATACCGAAGTACGTTATAATTTGGATTGTCAAATCTGCCAATAATGTGCTCTTATGACGGTATTATAATACACATAAATTTTGTTGATATTATAACACAACAAAAATATTGCGTGGTTTGTAAGTGTAGTAATGATGTGGGAATGAGACTTATGTATCGTTTAGCAAATTAAATTGCAGATAATGAATCCCGAATAATTCTCTGATGAAGTATGAATAGTTT